ATCTCTCACTGGAGCAACAATTTCTGACTCCTGAAATCCCTCTGATTTTCTGAATCTTTTTTTTTGTATATCAGCATTGCTCTTGATTTTAACTATTTTTTTCCATTCTCTCTCTCAGCAACTGATTGCAGGGGCATTTGCCCCACTCTGGGAAGGTCAAGTGGAGGCCTCTTGTTCTTGCTTTTTCTTTTTTTTCCCTCTCTCTTCTTGTTCTTGCTCACACTCTTTTAGCCAGTTGCTGTGGTGAGGCATTACATCCTAGTGGAGTGGTAAGAACAGAGACTTGGATTTGGGATTTGGTTTGAAACAGAGGAAGTAAGATTCTGTGGTTCAAGACCATTTACACTAGCTGCATAGGGAACTTACCATGCATAGGGAAAAGGAATCTTTGTCCATACTGTCTTACCAGAGACCTATGAAACTGCTTTGGCCCAAAGTCTGCATTAATAATAAGGTGTTTGGGGGGTTGCTTTAATACCCGTGTATACAGCTTCATCATGAGATGTGATTGGTTGAACAAGAGACTCAGTTATTCAGTTATAATACTATTTTGGTGGTGTGCCAATCCCTGTATCTCAAACAGAATGAAACTTGAATATCTACCACATTACAGCTATCATTTGATAGAAAAGGAAGCTGAGTGTCAAAGAAGACTATAGATTTGTATACGGGGATTCTCAGGCTTAATAAAATTGAGAATTGCTTAATTCACATAATACCTTAAAATTGCCTATATTTTTAGCAGGGTTTTAAATCTAGGTCTCCTGATATAAGCACTAAAACTAAAGAATAGGCCACAATCTAATATGTGTTCTCTTTTCTCAAAACGGGAGATTGATGAATTCTCTGTCAGAATTCTAAAAAGTACTCACAGAAATTTCTAAAAGTATCTATGTTACTATTATATAGTCAAACACTGCTTTATGTTGTTAATAGTTATGTTTAATTTGTCTTTCTAATCATGTTGAATCCAGGTGGTATTCCTTAATTGACCCAACAGAGCAGAGGTAAATTAATATAGAAAATGTTACATTCTCATAAAGGGAAGGCCAAATGATGTCATCATACAGTACTGGTTGAACAAAAGTTCCCCAATAGTTGGAATAGATGTAAGTATTAGGCAAGCTGTGGCTTCGGTTGCCACTGTGCTATAATAGTTAGTAGCTAATTCATGTTGTGAGTGATCATCCTTTTAAAAGAAAAAAGCATAATCTAGCAGATCACATGAATGTTGATTTTAACATTCAGTGATGTTTACATTTTATTAGTTTTTTAGTTTGTTTAATATAGGCTTGTGAATTTGTGTGTGTGTGGGGGGGGTTATGTTGATATGTTATTTTATTACCATTGAAATATTTAACTTGACTTTTAGATCTAGTGAGATTTTTTTTTCCTTTGGAAGTATACACATTAGTCAAATTGACAAATAGTGATCTAATCATGCAGCGTTTTAATAGATGAAATAAGTGCAGTTCCAGCAATCCCTCAGACTTGATAGAATAGGACTCTTGGCTTCCTTTCCTCTTCATTCCTCCCATCGTTCTTTCCTTCTGCATTTATTCACGAGTAGGTTTATGCATGTAATATATAACAGGTATGCTTGATATAAAACGACTTCACAAGTCGCTGCTCTTGTGAAGCTCAATATAGTGTAAGAGACAGCCATTTAATGAGTAAGGAAAGTAAACTGCTACAAGAAAAATAAATAGAGAGCAAGACAGACAATAATGGTGCAGTGGTGGTCATAATGGTAGGGCCTATTTAGATAGAAAGGAAGGGAAGGTCACATTTAAATTGAGATCTAAAGAATAAAGAAGACTGTCATGCAAAGAGAAGGAAGGATATGCTGGACTGAGAGAATAACGTGCATGGGGAGAACAGTCCTGTGTGCTGATAACTTCGTCACCAGGGTATTTCTCACTTGTCCCTGCCTTTATCTTGGACACATTGTCAGCCCCACCAAGAGCAGGGTTGCTTTTCTCCATCACTATCACTTTGTGATTTCATTTAGTGACACTCTAGTCACTAAATGCTAAGCATGCACATGATTGGGTTCTTCACTGAAGCCTCCTGTTGCTTTTTAATTGACGATGTTTTGTGCTTGCTAAATGCCTCTTGCTGTCTTTTAATGTAATAGTTTCATTTGTTGTTTTAAGAGAAAATAAAACATGTTTTATGCCTCTCCCCTTCCATGATTCCCTTCTTCATTTTTTGCCCATTCTGGAGCTGGGGGGTAGAATTAGTGGCTTTCTCTTGTAATTCTGAGAGTCCATAAATATCTGTTTGATAGCACTTTTTATATAAGATCACTACTAGCTCTCCCATCTTATTGTGACTCTTGAGTCCAGGGACCCTCTCATATAGTGCAGTGTCTGCACACAGTATGCACTCAATTCATGTCTATTGTCTGAAGAAGCACCATAAATTCATTCTGGATGTGAGCATCTGATTCTTTTTTTTTTTTTTTTTTTTTTTTTTTTTTGCATCTGATTCTTTAAAGTGCAATGATGATAAGAAATTCATTACAGAGAAGTACATATTCCTGACTTCTACTTTTTTTTCTGAGATAGTTTTAAATGAATAAGAGCTTAAAATAACATCCTTATTTCATTTCTAAGATTTCAACAATTTTCGTATTTTATTATCAATACAAAGTTTCTAACATGCATAGGAAAGACTATGAAGAAAGTTATTGTTGAAGACTTTGTACCCTGAATACTAAACCACTCTTTCTGACCCATGAAGTTTCTAATTTAATGTTGAATTAATTTGAAATGGAGAAGCATAAAAGTTGTCTCCTCTCTAAAGGCCATCAAATGATATTCTCAGAGGTAATCACCTGCAAGGTGAAACTTGTAGGGGAAGACAACTTTGTAAAATAAATTGCATTGGGCCTCAGAGATGTGGGCATATAATAAATGGAGATGCTGTAAACTTCACTACCTCCTTACAGTTTTGAAGAGTGAAGCTTCTGTGGGTATTTGCATGTAGGTGAATTATGTCTGATAACAAATGGAAGTGTGATTTGGCCCATGTCACAGAATCTTAGCAGTAATTTTTATCCTAGCTCTGCCACCTAAAGCCTGGCCAGTTAATGACTCTGGATCCTAATTTTCTCACCTTAAAACAATAGAAGATTACGTTGGCTTCACATTTAGTGTTTCTTTTAGCTTGAAATTTTGATAGTCCTTGAAATGTACCTTTTATTCATATTTCATTCATTCTTTTAGCTTTTTAACACATACACAAAACAAAACCAAAAAACACAACATGCCAGAGGATAGGAGATGGTAGGACTTCATTGGGAACGGGAATTTTTGTTACAATTAATATTTCAATACGTTATTTTTTATCATGTAATCATGGTAATCTTTTTTATTATGTATCATGCAACAATTTGGGAACCATGCCTGAAAACTTACTAGATAATGAGTCTGGTTCTTGTTAACATCTTCTACATCTCTGGCCAGAGATACATTTTTAATTTCCTTTGCTTCTCTATGTCAAGCTATATCCTTTGGGTCCTGTCTTTGGAGACTAATAATTCCTTTTGGGACATAGCTAGAGAGATCTCTTTGGCTGGAACATCTACCATGAAGTCAAAATACTTTGATAGACATGAGCAGTGCTTACTAATCCTATATGTTAAAGAATGCTTTCAAAATAAATTCAAGAGTTTAAAAGTAATACGGATTTTTATTTTACAAAATAATTTCCTCTTAATTATAAGTCTGGAATTTAGATCTGATATTTTTCAAAGCCATTGCTGAAAACTGCAAATTTTCATACCATCCACATTTTTGTTTGACTAATTACTATGATGTACGTTTTGCTTGCTAATTTAGGTTATCCCTCTTTTAGAAGAAAAGGAAATTGTTCTAAAAGTAGCACTTAATGTGTAATCGCAAGACAGTGAATTGGTCACACAAAGATGCTAATTTTAGTAAATTATTGTTTAATTTAAATGAAATTTTAATTTGTTTGGAATGAGAAAGCTAACTTCCCTCCCTCCCTCCTTCCTCCTTCCTTCCTCTCCCCTTCCCTCCCTCTCTCCCTGTTTCCTTCCTTCCTTCCTTGCTTCCTTCCTCCCACCACCCTCCATCCATCCTACCCTGTCTTCCTTCCTTCTTCCCTTATTTTCCTTTTTACTCCTTTTCTTCTTGCCTTCTTCTTATTTTATCTTTTGAGATGGAGTCTCGCTCTGTCACCCAGGCTGGAGGGCAGTGGTGAGATCTCAGCTCACTGCAACTTTTACCTCCTGGGTTCAAGCAATTCTCCTGCCTCAGCCTCCCAAGTAGCTAAGACTATAGGTACCTGCCACCACACCCAGTTAATTTTTGTATTTTTAGTAGAGATGGAGGTTTCACCATGGTGGCCAGGCTGGTCTTGAACTCCTGACATCAGGTGATCCACCCGCCTTGGCCCCCCAAAGTGCTGGGATTATAGACCTGAGCCACTGTGTCTGGCCCTTTCTTTTTTTTTTCTAATTAAAATAAACACTTGTTGAGTACTTTCTGTCTGCCATGCTTCTCTTATTTAAAAAAAAATGCTTTATAGTAAACCTACTTTTACTACTGGAAACCTCCTAAAATTTTTATTAAAATTGTTATTGTACTTTTAATTTGACTGAAAGATATGTTTATTTAAAATTTAACATTAGCATCTTCAGCTTTTTAAAAGAAATTTGTCATGACTCTTGAAAATTTATCATGTACAGAAAAAATTAAAAGAGTAGTCAAATATAACTGAAAACCATCAGTCTTAGTTTTCATATTTGCAAAATGAAAGGCTGGACAAAAATTGTTTGTAATGCCTTTCCCATGCAGCACTAACCTGTAAAATCTGGCTTTTTTTTTTTTTTTTTGGAGATGGAGTTTTGCTCTTGTTGCCCAGGCTGGAGTGCTTTGGTGCAATTTCAGCTCACTGCAACCTCTGCCTCCCAGGTACAGGCATGCGCCACCAGGCCTTGCTAAATTTTGCATTTTTAGTAGAGACGGAGTTTCACCCTGATGGCCTGGCTGTTCTGGAACTTCTGACCTTAGGTAATCCACCAGCCTTGGTCTCCCAAAGTGCTGAGATCACAGGCATAAGCCACTGTGCCTGGACTGATCTGCCTTTTTAACAGATTTTCTTGGTAATCACATATCTACCAATGGTCATCTGCTTTCCACTTTTATCAGAAACACACATTTTCATCACATTTAGTTTGGAATTATGGAGAGAGTCTGGGAAACAGGAATAGCAACATTTAATACTGCAGTGCTCAGCTCTAATGTCAACATACTCTTGTGTCAGACTTAGTCATTAGTCACAGTTATTAGTTACAAGTCACAAGTCATTAGTCACAAGTCACATAAATTCACAAGTCATTAGTTAAAATATTAGCTTGAGAAAGATTTACTTTTTGTAAATTGCAGTGGCTCAAGATTATCCCTGTAAACGTGCACTCTGACATTTTCTTCATTGCAAGGGAAAAGGAGGGAAGCGTATCTAAAGTTCTGAGAACTGAGTATAAGTCAAGACTATGACCAAGGATTCTTGTGAGGATTAAATGAGCTGCTACATATGAAGTACTTAGCATGGTACCTGGCATACAGAAAATATGCTGTAAATGTTTGTTAATAGTATTACCATACCACAGCCAACCAACAACACCCCCCACACCACCAAAATAACCAATTTTTTTATTATTAGGCATATTACCAATTATGTGTGTCATGGCAGAAGGGAAAGCAATTTTGAAAACGTATGGCTCTATAATCTGACCAGTGACCTTAGATTGGATTTCCCAGATGGACTCCCACTGTTCCTTCCCTCCTAAAGCAGACTTGCCAGTTTTGTCCTAGCACTCCTTCACCACTGGCCTGACAATGAATTTTGTTTTTTTTAATTTTTAATTTTTGTGAGTGCATCATAGAAATTTAGATTTATAGGGTACATGAGCTATTTTGATACAAGTATACAGTGTGTAACAATCACATCAAGGTAAATGATGTATTCATCACCTCTAGAATTTGTCCTGTCTTTGTGTTATAATCTAAGTATACTCTTTTAGTCATTTAAAAATTTACAATTAAATTATTATTGGCTATAGTAACCCTCTTGTCTTATCAAATACTATACCTTATTCCTTCTGACTATATTTTTGGACACATTAACCATCTCCACTTCCCTGACCCCTCTACCCGCTCCAGTCTCTAGAAACCAGGTCGTTCTACTCTCTATCTCCATGAGCTCAATTTTTTAAAATTTTTAACTCCCAAACATTAGGGAGAACATGTGAGAAAAGTTTGTCTTCCTATTCCTGGCTTATTTCACTTAACATAATGAGCTCCAGTTCCATCCATGTTGTTCCAAATGAAAGGATGTCATTCTTTTTAAAGGCTGAACAGTACTCCATTGTGTACCACATTTTCTTCATTCAACTGCTGATGGCCACTTAGGCTTCTTCCAGTTCTTGGCTATTGTGAACAGTGCTGCACTAAACATGAGGGTGTAGATATCTCTTTATTATACTGACTTACTTTCCTTGGGATGTATACCTACCAGTCGGATTGATGGATCATATGGTAGCTTTATTTTTAGTTTTTTGAGGGACCTCCAAACTGTTCTCCACAGTAGTTGGACTAATTTACATTCCCACAATAGCGTATGAAGGTTCCTTTTGCTCCACATTCTCAGCAGCATTTGTTAATGCCTGTCATTTGGATAAAAGTCATTTTAACCAGTGAAATGTTATATCATTGTAGTTCGATATGTGTTTCTCTGATGATCAAATTGTTGAGCACCTTTTCATATATTTGTTTGCCATTTGGATGTCTATTTTTGGGAAATGCCTATTCAGAGTTTTTTGCCTGTATTTTAATTGGAGTATTAGATTTTTCTTTATTGAGTTATTTGAGATCCTTATATACTCTTGGCATTAATCCCTTGTCAGATGGATAGTTTGCAAATATTTTCCCCCATTCTGTGGATTATCTCTTCACTTTGTTGATTGTATCCTTTGCTGCCCAGAAGCCTTTTAACTTGATGTGATCTCATTTGTCCATTGCTGTTTCGGTTTCCTGTCCTTGTGGGGTAGTACTCAAGAATTCTTTGCCAAGTCCAATGTCCTACAGAGTTTCCCCAATACTTCCTTCAGTAATTTCATAGTTTGAGGTCTTAGACTTAAATCCTTAATCCATTAATCCATTTTGATTTGATTTGTATATGGTGAGAAATAAGGATCAAGTTTCATTCTTTTACATGTGGATATCAAGTTTTCCCAGAATGATTTATTAAAGAGGATGTCCTTTCCCCATTGTATGTTCCTGACACCTTTGTCAAAAATGAGCTCACTGTTGATGTATGGATTTATTTATGGGTTCTTTATTCTGTTACAGTGGTCTATATGTTTTTATGCCAGTACTATGTGTTTTAGTTACAGTAGCTTTGTGGTATAATTTGCAGTCAGGTAATGTGATTCTTCTAGTTTTTTTTCTTTGTCCTCAGGATAGCTTTGGCTATTCTGGGTTCTTTGTGGTTCTATATAAATTTTGGAGTTGTTTTTTATGTTTCTCTGAAGAATGTCATTGATATTTTGATGGAGATTATATTAAATCTATAGATTGCTTTGGGTAGTATGGATGTTTTAGCAATTTTGATTCTTCCATTCCATGAACATAGATATCATTCCTTTTTTAAATGTCATATTCCATCAGTCTTTTATAGTTTTTACTGTAGAAATCCTTCACTTTTTTGCGTAAGTTAATTCATAGCTATTCTATTTTATTTATAAGTATTGTAAATAGACTTAATTTCTTGATTTCTTTTTCTGATTTTTCACTATTGTCATACAGAAACACTACTGATTTTTGTATGTTAATTTTGTATCCTGAAACTTTGCTGAATTTGTTATTAGTTCTAGTAGATTTTGGTGGAGTCTTTGTTTCTTTAAGCATAAGAGCATATCATCTACAAACAAGGATACTTGGACTTTTTCCATTCCAATTTGGATACCCCTTATTTCTTTCTATTTTCTGATGGCACTAGCTAGGACTTCTGGAACTTTGAAATTCTTTACAACATAGCATTATTTTTTTACCCCAAAAATTTGGCCAAAGTTAGAATGGGAGCTGATACCTATCCCTCATCACAACATTATATTTAATAGCCATTGAATTGCCTTCTAATTAGTATAAAAGGAAGGGAATCTTACTTTCTGTCCATCTCTTTTTAATCAAAGAATAAAAACACTAAGAGCAAAAGCAATAGTGACTTATTATTTCTACAGTATGTGGTACAAGGAATCTTTTGTAACCCCACAAAAGTCACATACATTATTTTGCTAGTTCATTCACCAACGTCTCTAAATTTAAAAACAAAAATAACTAAAATATCATTTAAAATTTAATTACATATGAGGTGAAAAAGAGACTAGGCAAAACTCAATTTTTTCTTCAGTGTTTCTGCATATAGTGATATAATGTAGTCTATTTAGAAAAATGAATTTAAGTAAAGTGACTCAACCAACAAACATTGTAATCCTATTTACTTTCTCCTTTTTTTTTTTGTAACAGTCTTGCTCTCTTTCCTTCATCATATTGCTATTCTACATCCATGCTCACCCCAACCTACTTTCCCTTTTCTCCCAGAATGGATAAATAATGTGCCTTATGAATTGAACAGACTTTTCACAATGTGAGAATGTCCCTCCAATTCACTAACTCCATATATATTGAACTAATAACCCAAACACAGCAAGAGAACAACCCCTTTCTCAGGTTGATGAAACATATCAGGCATTGGAAATCTCCTTTTCATGCAGAGACCCAGTAGAAGATCCTCTCAGAAATGAATATCTCTTGGCAGACCAAGCGTACATTCTGTTTGTTTTGTGCTCAGTTCATTTTGTCCCTAGAAAGTGATAACATAAAGCAGTCAACTATAAACAAGACCAGTGGTATTTATAGTTAGCTGGTAGGCATGAGACAAAGTGGTAAACTTCCTTTAAAGAACCAAGCCGAGCTTACCTACATTGAAATTCATGGACTCATTTCTCACTGAACTTCAGTGTATAGCACTTGCTCATAAATGCAAAATATCTCTACTGAATTACAAAATCAGTTCCTTCTTTTCCATTGAGTATTTTGTGAAAGACTTTAGGGAGCATAATGGAAAGGTGCTGTTAGATAAAGAAGCATAAGATAATAAGGGAAAAAATGAAAACAAGCTTCCCAGGATGATTTCAAGGAGACTGACATAATGACCAGAAAATCCCAAAGATAGGTGTAGCATGTGAATTATGTGAGTTATATAAACTATATTCACTTCCCAAGGAGTCTGATAACTAACGCTAGGTATAGTTATCACCACATGACTGGCTCTATTTTATTGGTCATACTATAGTAATTAGCAAAATGTTAGGGTTGACTTTGTAATGATGTATCTTTTATATTAAAAGATAATATAAAAGGTGCTTTGGTCTGGTTTATTGTTAAGAACTGACTCTGCTCCAATCCCCAGCTCCTCTCTGCATGCCAGTGCCTAGGATGTATGTAGCTACTTTCATCAGAGAGCTGGTGGCATGTTCCTTAAAAGGAAATATTATTTTGAACATGAAAACAACTTTTTTTTTTAACCTATCTAGTATCATCATTGGTGACTGAGCAAAGCTTTTGGTATAAACAGAAAGGCATATGACAAGTAGAAACCAAATAATGCTTGGAAGTGTGCTTTGAAGAAAACAGCGATGCTGTTTTATGAGTCCAGTTGTATCTCAAGGATTTCTACATACTTTGCTGTCTTTTGTGCTTTCAAGAATGCAGCCAGAATTGTGCCAGCACTGAAGGTCAAACATGAAGTAGAGAGTGGGCAGCCAAAGAGATCAACAGTCAAGGTCTGAACTTTATAATATAGCTGTTGTTCAAAGACAACTCATGTGCGGCATTTCCCGGTTTTTGCTTTGTCTTCCATGAAAAGTGTTGTTGTTCCAGTGATGTTTGTATAAGTGCTGGATGAGGTAAGAAAAGAAAAAAGAGATGGAGCCTTCTCAGGGTTTCAAGAAATTCTTTTCTGGTTTAGCTTGAGATGCCAGTGGTTATGAGAAGGCGGTTAAAATCCTGTATGTATTTTCTTTCCATAATCTTAGTTGTCTCCCAGTTTTAAGATCAGCTTTTCTGAAACACAAGATGACAAATCCAAGGGACTGAAATCCTGTATATTCTGATGAAATACAAATAGACTAATATTTATATATAAAACAATTCGACGTAATATAAATAATTTGCCCAGGTGTTCTAAAAAAAGAAGCTATTGCATCATTTAGAAACAAGATTTTTTTACTAAACAATCAGGAGTATGGAATCCAATTGCAAGTTTACCATTACTGTTTTTCAACAGTATTCAAAATGCCCATATCTTGTTTCATTCTTTAACTAGATTTCATTCTTTAACCATAGTATTTTAAGCCTAAATATCTTTTTAAAGGAAATTACTTTAAAAATATATAAATTCATCATTTGTAAACAAAAAGAATATATCCACATTAAAGGAACAGTGATTATCAGATTCATGCAGTGTACTCAGCCTGTCACTGAAAAATGCTGTTTCTTTAAAAGCAAAGATTTTGCTTTTCATTATTATCCTTAGTTTTTCAACATATATTTTTGGTAGATATGTGTTACTTTCATGGATAAATTACATGTTAGAAATCAAGCTTAGAAAGTATTGTTTAACCAGTCCTAAGACATAAGGTTTTATTGGTATGACTTGGTTGTCAAGAACATAAAAGGTAAATTTATGGATTTTGCTTTCTCCATTTATAGGAAATTAAATTCTCCTCCTTTCCATCAAATGTCACCCACACCTTTCCACGGAGCCTGAAGACTGACAAGTAAATGCTTATTTAGAGTTATGCACTTACTCGAGAAAACCGGGTACTTATTGGAGAAGAGCAAAGTGACACCTAGAGGGAGGGATGCGGAAGGAGGGTGAGATTTGCTGAAAAGGAGAGGAGTAAGGTGCAAAAAAGAACATTACCTATCCCCCAAGTCTGTTTGGGTATGGGACCTTTGTCCTCACTCATGTGGCTACTGAAAAGATCTTAGAATCTATTTTGCATAGAATCTCTTTGAAAATATATCATTTATGGTCCTTTAGGGCAGCAACTATGTTTTTCTGCTGATAGACACTGGTGTTTGGGAGACGTTAAATAAATATTTGCTCAATGAGAATGTTACATATTTAAAGAGGTGATAATTTTATTATAACCATTATTGTAAATACCTTGATAATTTCCATTTGGAATGGTGGCCTCAACAGGTTGAAAAGTGGAGAATCTTAAAGAGTATGTGAAATTAACTTTCAGAATATTTTTTCCATTGAGCCTAGAGTAAGTCAGATGTAACAGATGAAATTAAATGAGCAAATTTCCCAGTTAAAATGTCAGTGAAGATATCTGAAGACTTGCAAATCTGTAATTACAACATGGAATAGTAGTGTTACAATTCAGATGACACTTTGGACATTATCAAATGCACCTTTCATCCTTCACTTTAACTTGGAGAATTATTTCAAACTATCCTAAGGGATGGATGTGTTAAAGTTTAATATATCACAAGAGGTCTTATTATTCATTATGCAACCACACTATAAAGTAAAAAATATAGAAATATCATGACTTCAAAAGATGAACTTGATATCAGTTCTTTTTAACTTTAGAAACTCATTTAATTCTTTTTAAAAGAAGTAAAATTTTAGCAGTCTTCCATTTAATTAATAAATAGATACAAAGTCTAGAGATATCAAAAGAGTCCAAATAGTCCAAATATGTTGCTATTCTCATATTTTATAGTTATGTCCCATTCTAATTACTCATTATATTTAGATATACCAGATTTATGGTGATTAATTTACATTTCTTTTAACACTCTCTGTTTTATTTTATTTATGAAAACAAAGGCTCAAATGGATAAATTTCTCTTCCCAAATCACAATAATGTTTTGTGGCAGAGCTGAGAGTATGTGTGTGTTTGTGAATTTTCTGGCCAAACTATAATTTACGCTTTCTTGGTAGCTGATAATTTTGCTAATGTATGATGATTCCTTGGGAATTCTGGATCTCAAAATTATTATTTGAAAATAATAAGATGAATAAGTAGGATCAATAAAGAAATTGAATAATGGTGTTGGATTTCATATAGCATTAATGATGACCCAAAATAATAATCCTATTTGGCTATGTGATCCTAGACCTATTAGGAACTTGGATATTAATATTTGAAGAAATTTTAGAAATCACTGTCTGCTGTTTTACAATATCCCCCAGGTCAAATAAATAATTGCAGACTAAAAAAACTATCTAACTCAGGTTGCCTAATAGAAATAGAGTGTAGGTCATAAATTTGAGCCCTATTTTAAATTTTTCAGGAGCCTAATTAAGAATAAAATAAATAAGATTCATTCATATATTTTACTTAATGGAATATATCTCAAATGTTAATTTTAATATTTTGTGAATATAAAACTATTAATAAGATATGTTACATTGACTTTTTGTACTGACTTCAAAATCTATGTGTATTTTACACTTAAAACACATTTGAATTCAACAAGCAATATTTCAAGTGCTCAATAGCCACTTGTGGCTAGTGGCTACCTCTGAACAATACAGGATCTAAGTGGTTTACTCTGCTCCAGCAGTGAGAGAGAGGAGGGTTTAGAGGGAGTTGATTAGCAGATTACTGTGGAGAGATGTTTCAACTAAGGAGCTGGAATAGGGCATTAAAACATGTGAAAGGCTGACACTTCATTTCGTAAATGAGGGCAGTGGAGTGCAGAGGTATTGAGCAGCCTGCCTAAGAGGCCAGAACTGTAGAAGTAGCCGAGCTGGAAACAGAGCTTGGTTCATCTTGTAATTTTAGTCCTTTTTCCATTATACTGTATATCTTCTCTGGGATAATAGAAATCAGTAAATAATGGTAGGAAAATCATCCTTCTACGTAAAGGCTCCATATAGCAGAAGCCTCCTTCCTTATGGAAATATCCATGATTATTGGAAGAAAAACCTCTATTTGATTTGTTTACCCAGGTGACTTCCTTTTAATGGATGTGTTATATTAATAACCGCACTTTGGTGTTGGTGTAACAGCATGGCACCTCATGATTTTATTAAAAGAAAGCATTTCCCCTGAGAAATACGTGTGAATTGCTATTAATTTGTTATATTTTTGTTTTGTATTATATGTAACACAACTTCTAAATATAAAATTTAAGTGTAAGTGAAAATGGCTCTACTATTTATATTTAGTATTTTATAATATCTCCTTATTAAATTTTATAATTGCAGAAATTATAGATGTTTTGCATATTGTGGCCTGCAAAGGTAACTGTTTTTTTTTAAACAAAATAAATGTATTTTGTTCATTTGTTCAGATAATCTGTACTAAACCCTAAATGTATGTCAAATAACTTGTTTGATTATTGGAGTAAAATTAGGATAAGGTAGCATGGTTTCAGCCTCCTAGAGCTAACACTTTATTTTGGAAAACCAATAATAAATAACTAAAAATAAATATACAGTTATACACCATGTTAAGTGTTGTAAAGAGAAATGAAATCATGTGCTGAAATAGACAGTTAAAGGATGAGTTGGCAAATTTCCTCTAGGTAGAGTGAGAGAAGGGAACAGTAGGTGCAAAGCTGCTGGGGTGGCAAAGAGCTTGGTGGGTTATGGGCACTGAAAGGAGGTCAGTTTGGCTAAAGCAGATTCAGCCATGAGAGGGGTTAGAGAAGAGTCTGCAGCTAGAAGCAGTGGCCAAGTGATTCAGACTCTTGTTAAGGATATTTTTTTTTGCCCCAGCATGTAATGGAAAAATCTACTGAAGAGTTTTAAGAAGGGGAGTGACATGATCTGATTTATGTTTTAATAATTCACTGTGCACATTGTGTAGAGAATGGATTTCAGTAGAGCATGAAAGGAGCAGGGGTACTAGTTATGAAAGCCATTGTGTTCTCCAGGTGGGGAGAGGAAGATGGGCATTCACCTTTCAAAGAAAAAGATCTAGAAGACACAGCACATTCAATTTTTTCTACAGAGTAAATTTTGTATTTACGTGCCTTAGAGAAATCATGTATCTTCCTTTGGAAGACTAAAAGCCCACAGAGTATTTTATATCACACGTGGCAAAGTATTTCATAGTACAGGAATTTCTGTGCTAAACTACTCACTTGAAGAATTTTTGCTGCTTCTCCTTCATGATGTGGTTTTCATAAATATGCTTTTCATGCAAGGAATATGTTATATGCTACACTTATTCAATTCTTTTAGCAACTCCCACGAAGACAAAACAAAACAAAAAATTCCCAGGGCAATGTATTCAAATTGATGCATGCCTTAAAAAATGTTTTTAATTTTGCATTTTGGTCATTTTTACTAAAAGAATGTAAAAAATTGATTTTCAAATCAGGCTTTCTTTTCCAGAAAGCTTGTTGGCAAGTGATGGCTAAAATGGATGAATATGATCTTAGAGTGGCTTTTACAGCACAAAAGGATATACTCATTTTTGTCAAAACACTGCAGTATTTTGATGACTTGTTACATATTTTTACTTTATTTATTTTTGATTAATTCTTCTTAAGATTCTAAAGAGTTTTTTATTTCATCCTTTTATTTCATTCACCAGTCTATATTTTTAGTTTATTGTATTGCTTTCTATTTCTCAACTGAAATGTAACTACCATGAAAGTGAAATTACAATTGTTCTGTGCAAAGTTGTAATCTCGGGAACTTAGAGTTCTTTCTGTATAATAGGTGCTCAATAAATATTTGTTTAATAAGTGAATGAATGAATGAACACTTGGAAATAACTATCGTGTTTCTAATACATCAAAAGCCATTTAGTATAGAACTATTTTCCTGGTACTATATGCAGCAACTTCTTCTTCTTCCCTTTAACTCATTTTATATAAAAACAGGGTTTTTCAACTCAGCATTATTGAAATTAGAGGCTGGACAATTATTTGTTGTGGGTGTGTCCTGTGCATTGTAGGGTGTTTGAGGCTGGACAATCATTTGTTGTGGGTGTGTTCTGTGCATTGTAGGGTGTTTGGCAGCATCCCTGTCTTCTACACACTAAATGCTTGGCAAACCCCCAGTGTAACAACCAAAAATCCCTTCAGACATTGCCAAATTCTCCCAGTTGAGAACCACTGTATTAAATAATTATCTTCACAGTGTACAACTAGTGACGTTAAAAATATGTAGATTCTGAGCTATCGTACACTGAATTTTGGCATTTTCTATATGGAATATTCCATTCAAATATTTTAAATTAATTAAAATATAATATATTTTACCAAATAGGTAAACGTAAATGAAAATAACTTTTCCCTGTGATGATTTTTCCATTTGAAAAAGCTATTTCGAGGGTTCACAGGTCCTCCAAAGCTATTTTCAGTAAGACTCTCCTTTGCTAGACACAAAATATTAGCATATGAATCCAATTTCCCACAATAGGAGCCTAGAAATTTCCTAAGAGGCAAAACTGGTTCAACTGCAGTCATTATGCAGAACCATTACTTGCATAGGAAGAAGGACAGAGTGCAGAGTTTAGTAAACAGCTCACAAAGGCTCAGTGTTTTTCTAAGACTTTGGGAAGATAGCCAGAGACTTTCTGCATGATAGAGTTTTTAGGGAGATGTTTACATTGCTATTTCCAGAAATTTATCTTTTTTTATTGAGCAAAAGAAACCATAATACATAGATAAAGCTGCATGGAACATGAAAAATAAAGCAGTATTTGAAGGAAAAAATTGGTCATATCTCACATAGCTTCCCAAGCTAGATATGATCATCAAAGTTAATGACCACCCAGATTGCGATTAATCTCAGCATCCTGATTAAAACATAGAAATTTCAGGGCAGATTTGGGTGGCAATTGAGAGAAGGTGATTTCAAAGTTCATAGAATATTCATTCCTCCACCAACTATTTTGTTTTACTCAGACAAGTGTGCTGATTGGATACATCAATAAAGCATAATTCTGTTTTTGGGAGGAAGCTGTAGAGATATCATTGGTGCTCCACAGACTCATTTTCACAACAATGTAATGATTTTGATATTCCCTCCTCTCCGCCTATTGCAATACCATCTTTTAAACTCAGGTAATTCATATATTAGTCAATATTTGAATTATTTTGTTAATCTGATTCCAAATTAAGAGGTTAAGAATGAAAGCAAAAAGAACAGTAATGGACATATAAGTCCAGAAATATGTAATGTATTGTTTTATACTTAATTCTCAGTAGTTTTAATTCAACTGAGTTTGAGAATCAAACAATGGCCTGTCTCTGTCTGCCATGGCAATTTCTGAATGTTTTTCTCTTGGTGTCCTATTCTAAATTCCTCATTCTTGACGAAAAGCATTTTCAGTTTGGATTTTAGAGAAAAACCTTGCAATGTGCATTTTAAGATGACACTGAGAAAATTATCTTTGATTAATCATTTTCACCTCACTGCATTAACTTGCTCTATTTTAATGTCTAACATGTTAGGGATTATTTTGTATTTCAAGCTAATAAAAATCCACACTCAGTAACATGAGCAAAATGCTGGTTTTTAAAATGTACCAGCCAATTAATTTAGTTCCACCTCTTTGTACTGTGAGAAAATAAACTGCTTAATCATAGTAAGCAAATTAATGTTTCATTTTTAGAAGCAACTAAGGTTAGATTTTTATGTAATTAACATAGCCTTTTGTCCTCTATTAATTTGGGGGATAAGAAAATCACATAATAAATTGCCTTTGGTAAAGGTTATTTATTTGAAGTGCTGACTACTTAGGAGCATACGGAGGTGGTTGACCACCTTAAAAATTCACCTGTAGTGAGACTGTTCTTTTGGGATCCTATCTGCTGCTGACAATTACAGCGTAGCTATGACTCATTTATCATCCTTGATACCTTCCTCGGTATAATAGCTTACTAACTTTATTAATGACATAGATATAAAAATGTTTCTTAGGTTTTTCAAAGTATCCTTGTAAAGATAATTTAAATACTGAGTATCTTTATTTTTAATACATAGATACTAGGTGTGTTTTTGAATAAGAAAAAGGAAACTAGCTAAGGCCTTTAAGGGCATCAGAATGCTACTAGGCATCTCACTTCTCAGCAGATGGTCAAACTGAAACCAAAATAGTCATCAGTAGTACAATGTGGGTGACATATATTAGAAAACTTGATGTAAATAAAGCAGAAGATTCATTCATTCATTCATTCATTCACTCATTTCATATTTCAGTTTCTCACGTGTTTCTGGTACTATGCTAAGTGCTAGTGATACATTTATGAGATTGCACTAATGGTTCATTAATATGTCTGCACAAAGTCAGGTAATTAGGTTCCTGGAGGATGATAGACTAGGTTCTCTGAACAATTAAACATTAATTTTTTTTTTATCTTCAAAGTCTAAGTTTTTATTAGTATAGCAGCATATCTTATTATTTGACCAAGTTGCTGCCTGGTAATGAGCAAAAAGAATACTCATTCATCTTCCCTAGTATTTTTAGAATTCCTAAAAATGTGGTGTGCATGTTTGCAAGTTCCGGAAAGGCAGGTCAGTAATAATCATGCCCTTTGGGCAGAATACAGTCTGTAGAGCAAGATATCGTCCTAGACCACGAAAACTGATGACGTCAAAGCTGGACTGGAATTTGAGATTTTCTTTCTTTCAGTGACAGGCTTAGGTAACTCATTAGGCTCAAATGAGATGCTTTGAACTGTGGTGACTCGCAGTGATGTTCCCCTCTGCATGTTGATGTGAGAAGTGCCTCTTCAGCCTATTGCTGATCTTGCCTGCTGTAGAAATTTCCAGTTGTCCAATATTTGGAAGAAAACTATGACTATATCTTTAATAAAATCTAAATGAGACAAATCACTAAAGAATTACCCATGCTTGATAAACATATGAAAAATCCCCTTATTAAATAGTAAATACACTTGGAATTACATGATTGAAATTAGCCTTGGTAATCAGCCCTAGGGGACTTGGCATGATAAATTGTATTTGTATATTGGAACACTGAGCAACCATTAAAATGTTCTTGTACATGAATAACTAATAAGGAAAATTATTCATATTTGTAGTTAAAAAATATATGTATCATTTCATTTATAATTTTTTTTTCCGAGATAGAGTCTCACTCTGTCACCCAGGCTGGAATGCAGTGGCACTATCTCAGCTCACTGCAACTGCCATCTCCTGGGTTCAAGCAATTCTTCTGCCTCAGCCTACCAAGTAGCTGGGATTACAGGCACATACCACCTCACTGGCTTATTTTTTTTAATTTTTTTTTTAGTGGAAACAGGTTTTCACCATGTTGGTCAGGCTGGCCTTGAGCTCCTAACCTGCCCACCTTGACCTCCGAAAGTGCTGGGATTACAGGCATGAACCACAGTGCCAGGCCTCACTTTAGAATTTTAATTGTATTTAGATGTATGGCTATGAACATTTACATATAAACACGAAGAACCAAAGCTTTAGAGAGAATGTATTCACTCTAGAGTGTTAGCAGTGCTTAATTATGTGTGTTAGAATATAAGTGAATTTTCATTTTGTCTTTTTTGTGTCTAGATTTTTTATTGTTTTTTGTAATGAACACATTATTTTTATCATAAAACAAAGTTACAGAAAATGAGAGATGACTTTTATCTCTCAAACTGGAAAATACATTTTTAATCATAATATATTGACATAGCTTTAGGGAAATGTATGGAGTTAGAGTTTCATCTAATA